ACCTGTTCAACGACGCACTCATGATGGCCGTCTGGCTGCCGGACAGGCGCGGCCGCGTCCGCTACAAGTTCGAGGCGCTGTTCGCGCTCGACAGCGTCGCTGTGGTGAACATGCGTGACGTGGGCAGTCTGAAGAACGCCTTCAAGCTGCTCATGTTCCCCGAGACTCGCGTTTTTCAGTGCGCCACGCAAAAGATCAAGGAGGAGTGGCTGGAGATTGTCGATCGCACCAAACGCTCCAAGATGGACGCGGAGAGGAAGCAGCAGTCGGCGCGGCAGAAGCGCGGCGGCGGCGCGGCGGTGGCGCCTGCTCCGGCCGAGTCTGAGTCGGCGGCCGAGTCGGCGCCCGCCGAGCCGCCGGTGGGAGCCGCCGCCATCCCCGAGCCGCTGTTCATCGCCGAGTGGCTGCTGGAGGCGCCAGAGGACCTGGACGTGTTCCTGGCGCAGCGCGAGTTCGAGGCGGCGCTGGCGCTGCTGGGCCGCGCGCGCGAGGCGGCCGCGCCGCTGCCCGACTCTGAGGCGCGCGTGCAGCAGCTGCGCTCGCAGCTGGCCGGCCGGCGGCAGCATCTGACCGAGGCGTTGATGGCCGAGCTGCGGGTGGAGGCCGGCCGCAGTCTGCAGGGCGGGCCGCGCGCCACCCGCCGCGCCCTCCAGCTGCTCATCCGGCTCGGACACGCCGGCCAGGCGTGCCGCCTGTTCCTGGAGCGGCGCTCGGCGCTGCTGCGACACGAGCTGAAGCAGGTGAAGATCTCGATGATGACGCAGCTGTTCGTCCACCGGCTGTCGGCAGTGGTGTTCACCAGTCTGGCCGACACCACGCGCGAGTTCCAGCGGGCGTTCGCCGCGCACCCCAACTGCGCGTCGGCGCTGGTCGTGTGGGCGCGTCAGGAGCTCACCAACTTCATGGGCACGTTCAACAAGCAGGTGTTCACGGCCAAGGTGTCGCTGGCCACGCTGGCGGAGTGTGTGACGGCGATCCGCTCACAGGCCGACCGGCTGCGGGAGGCCGGCCTGGATGTGCGTCAGGAGCTGGATACGGCGCTGCTGCGGCCCGTGGAGCGAGCCGTCACCGACGCCCGCCAGAAGCAGCTGGAAGCGGTGCGACTGCGCGCTGCCGAGGACCGCTGGCGTCCGACCAACCTGCAGCACGCGGCCGGCGTGGCGCGCTTTCAGGCCGAGATGCGCGAGCTGGGCCTGCCGGCGGCCGAGCAGCTGCCGGACGAGTCGTGTCGCGTGCCGCTGACGGCCAACACGCTGCAGTTCTGCCGCTCGTTTCTGTCGCTGGCCACCGAGCTGGGCCGGCTCAGCGGCGGCGACCTGACGCCGACCGTGGAGGACGCGCTGGCGGCCGTGCTGCTGGCGCAGCTGCAGCACGCGCAGCAGGCCCTGCAGCAGGAGCGCTACCGCTCCGAGCGCGCCACCGTGCTCACCAACGGCCGCTTCCTGCTGGACGAGCTGCTGCGCGCCGCCGAGCAGCGCTACCGAGACGCCACCGGCCGGCCCTGCCCGCCCATGGCCTCGCTACGCACCGAGCGCAGCAAGTTCCCCGACCTGTGAGCGGTGGGTATCGGACCACGGGTGAGTGTACTGGTCGAGAGGTGGCCACGGGGCCCGCTCGGCGTCCTGACCAGACTCGTGTGTGTCAGTGTTTGGTGAACTGCTTTAGGAGTCATCTCTCCCCGACCGCCTTTTGAACGATTATGGCTGGACCGCGTCTACCAGTGGTGAGCTTGTTCATCGCGGGGTATACTTCCTACTTTGAGTCCGGAGTCGTCTCAGCACTTTGGTTATATCACGTTACTGCCTATATCTACGTAGTCAAGCTATGTATCTCCCGTTTACATCTGCTAAGAAATCCTGCCTGCTATCTGAGTCCCGGTCCGAGCGGCCCGCGCGGGTGTTTTTCGGCCCGAGGAGGTCCCGGGGGCGCGCGCGACGTGTGTTGGTTGCACGGCGTGTTTGCACCGTGTCGGGACGGGAAGCGTGCCTCTGGACCGGTCGGCCGCGCCTCGCCCGGTCAAGGTTATCGCTCCAAGTCGATACGGGGCCGGCCGTGGTGCGTGTCCTCCGCTCAGAGGCGGTAGACAGGGCGCGGGGCTGGGGGCGGATGGCTGAGAGAGTGTGTAACTGACGGCAGGGCTGTGTCCGCCCCGGGTGCTGACTGCGAGTCATGTCAGTCACCTCCGAGTCTCACAGCGGGGCCGAGAGAGTGTCCTGTGGGGCTGATTTGTATCGCGCTGTTACGATTTGTCGATGCCAATGACCGGCCTGGGTGGGGGAGCTGTGCGAAAGTCGAACTATCGCCCAGACAAACGTTAATTAATGCATAATTTATTATTCATGGTATTATACCACTGGTGGCATCGGTATATGTCGACGGAGCTAGTTAGTTTGCATTTATGCGTTGCTGTCAGTGCCCAGTGGTTCGCTCCGTTGAAACCATCTGTTGTCAATGCTTCTGAAGTACTGAGGTTTACATTGTGAGATTAGTTGACCGATGCACGGCATGCCTGTTGATTTCAGATATCTCACTACCTTCGGCCCCGATATCTACTTTCGCTGTAGTCGCATTGTTATCTGTATACATTGTTATTTTTGCTTGTTAACGTAAATATTTTGATGTATGCATTTCGTGCGTATAGATATGGTTTGTGATTATGAGCAATACAGTCGACGTCCGCTTGAGCGTGGTTTTGTAGGGATACGATCCAACTGCCTCTAACGGTGAAGGTTCTTATCTGTCATCACACAATAGTTAGTGTTCATAACCACAGCCAGTACCATTTGCCAGCCAGAGATCCGATACAGACAGCTATTGTAAAAAGGTGCTTTTTCTGACGGCACGTGCGAGTAGGGGACCTAAAGATCGCTAAGCACGTCACCGCATAGTAATGGGTGCGCTGTCCAGGTTTTGCAGACGAACTCCGTTGACGTGTGCGGCTCTCTGTGCTGTGAGCGGTGTGCAGTGGCGCCCTCTGCACTGCCTCGTCGCCTCGTCCCGTCCGCCGTCTGGGCACAAGTGGACTGAGAACCACTTGAACCTGAACGGTGCTGGAAATAACGCAGTGCCAGGCCATGGTAGGTGGTTATGACGTGTCTGTTCCTCGGACATTCCTTTCGTTTGTTTTATTTATTCAAATGGCTTTACGACAAATGGTAGGTATATTAAACGAGAACAAAACGTACTTTTCTGTTTGATATGCTGGATGCTCAAATGAATAGTTAAACGCTCGCTCGCACGCACAGATTATGGAGCCATCCTATGTAAAACGCACATGAGATCGCTCCTTTCCATTCCCGTTCGGCTGCTTACTGGGACAGAACTTTTCGGGGACACGTATTGCATTACACACACACACACAAGCATGTGTTTGCCCACGGCCGTGTTTCACTGTATCAAGTAAGACTTTGGCGTACCTTAGTCCAAGTTTCTACTGTGCCAGCTGCAGATGATTTAGATGGGCCAACACCCGGATATGTGACGGGCGTCTCAAGATTTTATCAAGCCTGGATAGGAGAAAAAACTTGATTTTAAAAATTCATTGGATGGTAGGCTTGCAACTAGCAGCGGCAGCGGCAACTGAAGCGTCTGAACTCTGAAATATGTCGCGCAAGCCCTGCGGCAAGGCATCACCCAGTGTTCGCCCTTCATGCACCTAGATGGCAGTAGTAGTCGGCGCCTGAAATTACACTGTGCCGCAAGCCATCACTGCGGTACAGTATCACTCTGTGTTTGACCTTCCCGCACCTAGATGGCAGTAGTCGTCGGCGCCTGAAGCTATACTGTGCCGCAGGGAAAAGTTTATGTTTATCCTTCCTGCACCTAGATGGCAGTAGTCGTCGGCGCCTGAAATTATACTGTGCCGCAGGGATTATTTCGTGTTTGCATTTCCTGCACCTAGATGGCAGCAGTAGTCGCCGCCTGAAGTTATGCTGTGCCGCAGAGTTCCTGTGGCACATTATCGTCCAGCGTTTGCCATTCGTGCACCTAGATTAGATGGCAGTACTGATGAACGCCTGAAGTTATGCTGTGCCGCAAACCATCCACGCGCAGTGACCAAACACAACATTAAAATATAATGTTGTGTTTGTCCTACATTCTAGTTATTGAACATGCATCCTTTCTATCATGCATACTCGTACCTGGCCTCGTATTTCAGCTGATAGGCATATCCGACACCTTAATGATACCTGTGTCAACGAATAATCGTCGTTGATGCGATCCATGGCGTATAATTTTCCATTTTATACCCGTCATAGTCTACAGACGAAGGTCTGGCACCACATTTACCCTGTCAGGGGTTCCGGTATTACTCGTCAAGTGTTTTACCAAACCGTGGTATCACTTCACTTACTTTTATTAACAAGAAACGGATGGCGGGAGGAATCAGTAGCGGGAGCGGGGAGGCAGTCGTTTGAGCGCCTACCACGCCCACGTCAGCCGCTCCGGTCCGGTGACGTTCAGCGTCTCGAACGTCCGTCAACGTATAATGCAGCTCAATGACTTCGCTCCGCTGTGCGCTGACGGCCAAGGCAGCCACCGGCCGGCGGTTTTTGTGAATAAAAACGAAACTTTCTGGATATGTTGCGTGACTAGGCTGCACTAGTTGGGCGAAATAAAACTGGTACCGTAAAATGGGGCTATTTGAGACAGTGGGGCTATTTGAGACAGTATTTAAAATCGCTATAAAATAAAGATCGTTGGAATTTTGTGTGGTATTTTTGCTCAAGGAGGTGTGTAATCGAACAATAAATCGCCTGAGCAAAAATCAAGCATAAATTTCAAACGGTTTTCACTTTATAACAATTTTAAATACTGTCTCAAATAGCCCCACTGTCTCAAATAAAAATATACTTTGCTGTTGACATCTAAATAAAATTGTGTTTCTCAATTGCTGTTTGCTGTAAATGGTCTACGCCTTTAATTTTCTTATACCGTAAGGTGGGGCACCTTACGGTATAAGAAAATTAAAGGCGTAGACCATTTACAGCAAACAGCAATTGAGAAACACAATTTTATTTAGATGTCAACAGCAAAGTAACAGCAAATATATTATTATCGAACAACAAACGCATTGGCTATCATCTCACTACAAAATATAATCTGTATTTACTCGCACGTTCTATCACACCCGCAGTTACGCACCAGCAGTCGCCCTTCAGCACACGCACGACCATATAGCCAACACTTGGGCTGGACAAACGGGGAATATATAGGTAGGTACATACGTTTCACGGCGTCCAAGCGCAGTGCTGTGTCTAAGCCGCGCGCGCAGTGAGTGTGAGCTCGAGCAAAAGGACGACATCCGATCCACTGGAAAATAGCTACTCTCGAAACGAAGGCTCTGTGTCATTTAAATATGTCATAGCTACTTATATATTAGATAATGCTATCTTCTAGAGACTTGAGTATTTCAACATGAGCATCATCAACATTTATATGTAATAAGTAGAAATTGACATCAATTTGTCTACTGTTGTGCGTAGCATCACAAGGTTTTAGAGAATATAAAATGCGAGCAGAGAGTGCCGCACTTGATGTCGAAATAATGTGAGGTACGGAATCAAGAAGTAACTTGACAACCGGGTTCTTGCTGCTAAAAATAATATACTTTAAAACAAGCAAAGTTAAATTGATGAATGTCAAAATAGCCAATGAAATAACGCAAAAAAAAAACGATAACTGTAGCAGTAGCTAAACGCAGCACGATTAATGACAACGTTTGAATAAATAAAATAAAACGATGATCAGTACAAAGAATCGAGTCTACCATCGCAAAAACACAAATGACCACCGTACCATTATAAGTACAAATTTAGATCCAGGTGACAGATTAGGTCGTGGACGACAGACGCCACCGACAGAGGTGGGCGGCACAGACGACCGACGAAGCCGCTCCACGTGCCAGCACGCGGCGGCACGTGCCCGCACGAATCGGCACGCGCTGCAAACGTGAGTAACGCACGACAACACTGAGAGAAAGCCTAGCTCTAGTGTGACTGACCGACTGACTGACCGACGGACCAACTCGAGTCTACCTAGTGAACGCTAGTTCGAAGGAAAGCTCTCTCAGATACGTACAGCGCCGCGGTCGCGTTGTTGTCGATTTTCAGTGAAGAACTGCGACCGCGCGTTTCCAATATCGGCAGACAACATGAACAGATGTCGCCCGGTGGTGGAGCTGGTGTCTCACCGTCGCGTCCGTACCCGCTGACCTGACCTGACCTCGCCGGCGCGCCCAAGTGTGAGCGGGGAGTGCTGAAGCTGTAGGACCGACAGCTCGTCGGGTCACCTTGCTGTGTGCGTCTGCACGGCGAGGGACGGCCCGGGCGAGAGGCGGCGGCCGGCCGGGAGACCTGGGACGGAATCGCTGGTGGAACGGCCCTGTCCGGAGCCTGCAGCGCTGCTCCAGCCAACAGAATGGTCAGCCAGAGCCGACAGAGGAGACGGACAGCTCTACCGGCCCGAGCTCCAAAGGAACTGCAGAGGAATGGGTGACGCTCGATAACTGAAACAGCCCGAGCCCGGCTGTCAGCAGGCCAACATACCCCGAGAGGCGCTGCTCCGTCCAAACACCCACCGTGTGTGGGTGCTTGCACCGGTGTCCACCGCGAGCAGTAGCAGCTGCGGTGGCTGTGACAGCGCGCAGCGCGCCGAGTGTGGCCGAAGATACCCGTCGGTATGACAGCGCAGTGCCCTGGTGAGCAGCGAGCGTGGCGGATTGTCTCACCGAGCGGCGCGTCCGAGACCGGTGTGGAGGGTGGAATAGCAGACAGAGCAGACCAGACGAGTCAGCGCCAATACACAGCTGACAGACTCTCGGACCGAGCCCGTCGAGAGCCCCACATACAGAGCTCAGTGACCGACCAGTGCGGACTGCGGACCATAGATCGGCGACCAGAGAGTAGTAACCAGAGTCCATGTACCCAAAGAGTGCCGTCAATAGACCGGTGACCGTAAACCAGTAGACTCGTGTACCAGTAACCTTATCCTGACGCAGAAACTGGTCACCACTGGGCACAGATCATCACCAGTAAGCGTCCACTCGTGTGCCGCGCACCAGCCCGCACCAGCAATCACCAGCCCACACTAGCCCGCACCAGACCACACCAATCGCCGCCCTTTGGAGCCGTCGGATCCGGTATCAGCTATCCGAGAGTTAGACGGTACAGCCATTGGCGGGCGATCCACCGACACACACAGTTACAGCTCCTCAGTCGGTAGGTAGGTATATGTATATCACGCGCGACGGGTCCGGGACGGTCACAGACTCCTGACCCGTCCTCACTACAGCTATAGGTATCATCACAGTGCAACGTCCCACAGACAGGCCAGCGGCGCTGCCGGCCACCTCAGCCGAGGGCGCTGCCTCGCTGGTGGCCACAAACGTGCTCAGCCGTCTTCCCATTCACTTACGCACAGACAAGCTCTCACTGTTTCACCCTGTATACGCCTGTCTATACTGTCCGTCTAAAGCTGCGTTCATATCGCTCAGAAATGTCGTCATCAAAAGTCATTACAAGCACACCGATGCTCCTCAAGTATGCTTAGACATTAGACACATGGCACAATTGGTTACTGAGTCAGACAACCGACGCAAATCCACCAAACACTCTGCGGTGATAAATGCACCGACGCCGCAAACAACTGAATCTTCCCGGCATGTTTTCTGAGAATCCCAGATTGTGGCCAACCACCGGAAAACGAACGGTCGTATCGGCCGACCCCAATCCGCCGGGATCAGCGGCGGTGGCCGAGGACCAGACGCCGCCACCCGTCGCCGGTCAGAGGTATTTTGGACGGCACAGCTCCACCTGAGCGACCCGCGGCCGGCGTCCCACTGGTGTTTGTCATTGTCTGTCAGAGGTACCGTTACTCGTGGCCGGTCATCTCGGGCCCGGACAGGTGCGGATTAGCAGCGGATGACTGACAGCACCGGGCTCCCTACCCTACCGCACGGCGCCGTCCTATCTTAACCATCAGCTGGACTGTGCAGGTGCCAGCAAACGAGTCGACGATAATCACTGACCCACCGTAAAAAGAGTCGGAAAACACACCGGAGAAGAGGAGACAGACCATTTGGAATATTTTATGTCGCGGCCAGTGATAACTGAAAACCTGCCTCTCCCTCCGGCCGCCGTCCGTCGCCGTCCCGACACCGGTCTCTACATATCCTCGCCCTCAGCATCCGCAGCTCTCGGACCGGCCGAGCCGCTCCGGATAGCGGCGACCGGCTCCGGCTCCGGCTCCGGCTCCGGACCGGCCGTGTCGCCCCGAGACCGGCTCCATATCGACTCGCTCCGCCGGGCCGGCCACCGACCGCGGCCGCGGTGCTCGACACTCGGCGCCGCTCAGAAGGCGCCCGTCGTCATGGCAACGGGCACAACACAGCGGCGCCGGCCGGCTCCGGCTACCTTCCGGGGCCACTCGAGGGCTCAGCGGCCGTGAGCTCAGGCGGCAGAGTGAGCCGCCGCGCCACTCGGCACGGCAATCCCTCTGCCAACCTGCCGGTAACTCACTTACCCGCGGGCCTACCGGGATATTACAGCAGGCTGGCTAACCAAGCGTTACTTTTACCTCAGAAAAAAAGAAAACGGCGACGGCGGCGGGATGGCGACGCTAATGCGGAGATGCGGTATCAGTGGAAATATTTTTCTGACATTAAGCCTTCAGCAGAATGTGCATGTAATGATCAGGGGATACGATGGATCTGACGGGCTGACGGCGCAGCGGTCGGTGGCGAGGCGAGGGAGCCCGGCGGCAGCTGCTCGGAAAAATGACCTCTTGGAACTGCGTCTGCACCGCTCGCAGCCGCTGACGTCCCAGCGCTGGCTAGGGGCGGCTGCACAGAGTAGACTGGCGATCACCGGCACCAGTCTGTCACCAGTGGACTGGAGACACTGGCGGCACCAGCACACAATCACCAATAATTCAAACACAACGAGCTTGCGCCCGGTCAAGGACATCCAATAAATAAAGCCGTGATCAGCCGTGACCTGAGCACAATGCTCCGTAGGATCTTGGCTCCAGCATTATAGAGCTGGCCTCCTGCAGGTAGCCGATGGACACTACCCGGTCCTGCCCTGACAGGCCCGGTCGGAGCGAGCCGGGCCCGACCGCAGAGCCGCGGAAACACCTCCTCCGCTGACACAGAGCCGAGGACAGGAGGTCGGACGCTGACCCGCAGTGCCGACCGGCGGCGGCAGAGGTCCGCGGACCCAGCGCCGATACCTGCACAGGCGGCGTCCCCACTACAACCAGTCACACTTGATGGTCTTGAACTCGAGGTTCAGCGCCACCGCCAGGAATATGAAGTAGAGCACAAACATCGCCATGCCCAGGCCCTTGTTCATGCGCCAGCGGAAGCAGGCGATGCTGATGATGACGAACATGAGCATGAGGAAGAGGCAGAGAATGTTGCAGGCCATGCCCTCCGACTTCACCTCAGCCGGCATCAGGTTGATGGGCTCGTTACGCGCCAGCTGGCCGATGGTCTTGGCCAGGGCGTCCAGCAGCCACGGCACGGGCAGCCTGCGGCAGAGAACACACCACAGGTCAGCGTAGTTCTAAAACGACCAGCGGTTTGAACGGGTTTGAACGGGGAAATCAGCTCGACACGACACATCGGATCGGCTTATACAGAAAAGTACCGACGGACCAAGTCAACATAAAGCTCTGGGAAAATCGATACAGATGGATACACTTATGACCAGCTTTAGTCCATAAACGTCATTTAGTGGCAGGCCTGTCACCAGCTTTCAACATACGGACTGAACAACCCATAATCAATTCGAGTCAGCTTCCGATGACTTGACGCCCATTCACAGAACAGTCTGTGACATCACACGTCCAGTCCACTGAGCGTGAAACGATAAGAGCCGGCGCCCGATACATTAGCAGCAACAGCTACATGTTCTATTTCGGAAGCAGGGACGGTCAGCATCTCACCCGACGCAGACGTCGAAGATGTTGCTGCCCACTGAAGAGGACACGGCCATGTCGCCGAACCCCTTCCTGGCCACGATGACACTGGTGATGAGGTCCGGAACCGATGTGCCCGCTGCCAGGATGGTCAGCCCCACCACCTGTGGGCAGAGGTCAGGTCAGATCACAGGTCAGGTGAGGTCAGGTCACATCAGGTCAGGTCAGGCCATTGACCGAGGTGCCCGCCGCCAGGATGGTCAGCCCCACCACCTGTGGGCAGAGGTCAGGTCAGATCAGATCAAGTCACATCAGGTCAGGTCAGGCCATTGACCGAGGTGCCCGCCGCCAGGATGGTCAGTCCCACCACCTAGGGCCACAGGTCAGGTCAGGCTAGGTTAGGTCAGGTCACGAGGGCTTCCCACTTCCAGAACAGTCAGCTCCAACACCTAGATTTACTGGAATCAGAGGTCAGGTCAGGTCACGGAGATTCCTGCCGCCTAACCGGCCACTCAACCACCTGGGGACACCGGTCAGGCCCATCACTTCAGTTTAATCTAATTCTGTCCGCTGCCGTTCTGCAATCTCGTCCAGTCCGAACAACACGGGGCGGCGTTCGACGCTGTTTGCCCCGCCTGCTTGAGTGCTCCATCTGCCCTGCGTCAGGCGCAGCGGAGGGGCGTCGTCTGCAGCTGCTCTGGCGATACGGGCCCAGCTCCGTCGCCCCGCGCCGGCATTGATTGGGTCTCGGGGCTCACGCGTCGATTCGTCTGGAGACGCCGGTAGCCGGCAATCACTGCACCAGCAGCTGAGCAGGCCGGAGGGCATGCCATCCTAGGACGGGAGAAAACTCAGCCCGCGGGCGCCTCATGCTGGTAGCAATTCATTAGATGTCTACTTTTATAACATTGTTTTTACACCGAGTCGAGTATCTTTATGAATTTCCCTTTTTTCGTTCCAATGTACAGCTTCGTCTCGCAACCATGGTTGCGGATATAATATTGCTTTTGCTATATATGACATCCACGCACGACGACAGCAACCAATAGCAGCGAAGATTGACGGTGCGAGTGGAGAAGCCGCATTGATCTGAGAATGTAGGTCTATCATATTACAGATAGAAAACATATATATCACGAGCACATCTCGGCCTCTCCAATATCTGCGATATTTCTGATCGCCGGAAAGCGACCTGTACGTAATGTGCGGGTCTGCTGTTTAGCCTGCCGTCATAGAGCGGCTAAGGAGCTGTCGCCAGGTTTACCTAGAGGCTGGGCATGCAGAGTGAGCCTCCATGGAGGCCAACTGACTCAATAGACCAGCCAAAGCATTGGGGCTTACGTTGCTAATGTATTAGTACAAATACTTTTATACGTTTTATCAAAGAAATTGCGTATTACATCAATGCATCCTAATGCAAAATCAGATATCTGCATTGGAGGTGCTTGCCGTTCGGTTTTTAGGCCAGCAGCTAATGTGTTATTGCTAAGGAATCTTTATGTATTTCGATGAAAATATAATTATCTGCCGTTCCTTCGTTCACATAGTGAACAGGTAGGTATATTTCATAAGGCAGTCCACTTTTCACAATGATCTTGGCATAGCTGAACTTCATGGAGGTCAATTGCAATAAGCCCTTGTCATGGCCGAATAACTGGCAATAAAACGAAGCGTGACACTGGGATAGGTCATTATGATATTATGTAGATCGCAGGGTTTCCCGGGGATTTTAACGATGCGTATCTTTGCGGACCTATAAACTAAAATCGATTGTTCGCTCGCTTTCAACTGAACAAAGAACTGAGCCACAACACACGATGGCTTTATCGTAACAGGATGCCGTACCTAATGTCAAGCCTATTATGATGATTCATCTTTGGCAATTGAAATTAGCATCTTGATAAATAAATTGGCTGGTGTTCTCAAACGTTCGCGAGCGTAACACTTGTCAAAAAAGCATAGGTTCAGGTTACATGACAACGCATGGAATAAGAAAACCAGTCAATTTTAGAGCTACACTGTCTATTGACAGATCTTGAAACAGAACAACGAAGGAAATATTCGTAATACTGTATCACGAGGTACTGTATCATGCATATTCACAATGCAGAGACATGAAACGGTGTGTGTTTGGTCGAAAACCCTCACCTCTGGCGGTATCATCATTGTGGAGGAGACGGTGGACGCCCACCACACCATCAGATAGGAGAACAGCGCGATCCAGATGATGCTGCCCACGAACGCGATAAAGAAGAACCTCCGACCTGTCGACACGACACACAGGCTGCAGTCACGAACCGTCCCACGAGCCGGGACCGTGATATGTAACGTTACTGTGGGGCTGAAATGGTTCCGGGAACGTGACAGGCACTGACGCAACTGACGCGGCGTGATGTGACCAGTTTTCCAGCCGACGCCCATGAGCTGAGTAAGTATCTCGATGTCTGAGCTCTGAGGGATGAGGTAACATCCGTGACATGGGGTGATGTTCGTGAAGGGACGATGGAGTCTGAAGAAACATGCAGGGTTCATTGTGAAAGTATTCGAGACAATATATGGGTTGTGACTGCTCTTTGAACAAATTCACTGCGATCCAATCATTCCTGAATCTTATAGCGGGTTTCAGCTCCACTCGGCAGCTCTAAAGTGCTCTCACCGGTCAGTTGAATAAGTGATGCAACCTGCCAATGACTCGACCAGCAAGGGACTAGTAATGTGAATTATTGTAACCTCTACAATCACAGATCCAATTGCATGGCAGCAGTCGCAACGGGAGACGCTGTGCACACCCACTTGAGCCTGCAGGCACCCGCACGCTTCATGGGGTCCCAGTTCCCACTACGTGCACTGTATAATGCTACGTGTAATGTAACGTAAGGTATATGTTGCCATAAGTCTGCCTATAACCCTCCGAGGAATGTTTGTTAATAAACAATAAATATTACCTTCTCCCAGCGGGGGCCGACCCAGTGGTATGATTAGTTGGCTACCGTCCTATGGATGTCCTATGGAGATGTCACATAATACATAACATTCATCACATAACATGGCAGGGACGCGGGAACTACTTTCAGACTGGGGGGGGGGGGGCACACCATAATAGAGTTCAACCTAGGGTACCCCCAAATCTAGTTTTCTCACCGGTTTTAGGCCACTTATTTTTCATCCCTTGGCTTTTTCAACAAAAAAAGAAAACATTTGCAAAAAAAATGCGGTATTCCGTCTCAAAGTTGTGGGGGCACCGCCCCACGGCCCCAGAGTTGGGGGGGGGCAAGCTGCCCCCACTCCCCCCCCCCCGGTTCCCGCGCCTATGTAACATGGAAAGGAGCTTGTAGAAGAACTTTCGAGCAAGTAGCTTTTTTGCGAAATGCAGGTCAGATTATGTGCCGTGACGTTCAGCGATGCGTTCTGGCGCTCTATACAGTCGGCTGACATTGAGGTTGTCTCCATCTCTTTGAAATGGTCTCTGCAGTCACTTGTGACATCCAGCGATCCAGTGAACACCATTGACAGTGACCTTGACTGACCTCCAGTGATATTATCATTCAGTGACCTCGACTATCCCTCCGGCAACCTTTGCTGACTTCCGGTGACCAAAACTATCCTCCAAAAACATTTGTTAACCTCCAGGAGACTGTAATACTCTCCAGTGACCGATGCTGACATGCAATGACGTTTGCCGACCTCCAGTGGCTTAGACTGACCTCTGGGCGACTTGCAGTCGGGCAGTGTGATCCACAGCGAGAAGACGATGGGCGCCACCAGCACGTAGACGATCCGCTTGCGCGTGGTGTCTGGCCAGCTGAGGTCTATCGGCTTGTGCTCCTCCTCGTCCTCCAAAATAGTCGGCTCCTGCGAACGGTAGACAACGGCACAGTGAACGTACGAACACACACTTAGTTACAAATACAGACACACATAACTATATGCCTCGTAGATGCAAACATACAAACATAACATATAAACAAAAACAAAGTGAGGGATGGAGAAAGGAGATAGTGATATTAAAAACACACATAGGTATACACTAAACATACATTCACATACACGCACAAGTGATCAGATGTGGAAACTGGACTGGCTTAGCAACCGCCTGGCGCAGAGTCGACCGCGGTCGTATCCCGGGAAAGACCGGAGCTGCGGTCCAATTCTGGAGTTCTGCAGAGCCGGGATATATGAATTCGCAGAAACTCCCCTGGTGGTGCGGGAGAGCGACTGATACTTGGGTTTGGCCAGGCGTGACATCGCCCTGGAGCAGCCGTTTCAAGAAAAAAAAACGTAATAACTGGTTTCATGTACCTAAGCTGAGAGATGATCGTCAAATGAAGACACGGGCACATTCCAAGGTTGTATACAGGGTGGCGCCGATAAATGAAGACAATATGTGCTCCACACAAAACATTAATTTTTTGACAAAAGTCAGTGCATTGGATGGAAGCTTGGAACTGGGGTGACTGATGGCGACCTGTCGAGCAGACTTCACTCGATGAATCCCCCTCCGCGTCGATGACGGCCTCGATGCGCGGCCTGAACCGGGCGCAGGCCTTGGTCAGCATGGTCTTGTCCATCTTGACCATCATCTGCTTGATGGCTGACTTCATAGAGTCAATATTGTTGTGTGGGTGTTTGTTAGTGTCCCTCTCGACTACGCCCCACACGTAATAGTCGAGCGGGTTCAGGTCCGGGGAGTTTGGCGGCCAGAGCTCGGGCGTGATGTGGCTGTGCAGGTTGGCGCTCATCCACTCCTGCGTCACCCTGGCCTGAGGGCGGGTGCAGAGTCTTGTTGGAACACATAGGGCCTTCCTCAGCCACTCGGTAGATCCAGGGCTTCACGACGTCACCGTCATCGACGGTGACGTCGACGTCGGGTCGTCGTCGACGATGTTCTCGGCTTTTGCAATGAAATCGTCGTCTCTGACGGCATCAGATCGTCGGGGATGTTTCTTCCGCTTTGCCACAGACGGAACGTCGCCCACAGACTCATCCAAGATCCGCTCGACTTTATAATCATGGCTTCTGTAGACCCTGAGGAAGTTGGCGACCTGGGGTGCCTCGCTGCCGGCGTGAAGCGCCACAATGACCGCGTGCCTTTTCATTTCTTCCACTATCAGCTTCAGCTGCAACGTTCCCTTTTGCTATGGACAACAATTTACATAAAGCATGGCACATGAATGCAAAAAATTAAACGCCTGCGTCCTCAAGCGGTAGATAAATATAGGCGGGTGGGTAAAAAGAACGGTGCGAGGTATGCAATACAATTATACACGTAATGTCACCGAAGCCGGTTTGACGTATATGGGTAAAAAGAACTGTGCGAGGTCTGCAATAAAATTATACACGCAATGTCATCGAAGCCGGTTTGGCGTATCAATCATATTTAGGAAATCCTAAGAATAGATATGCTATATCATCATTTGCCTCTACATATATTTAGTTAGTTATGCATGGATATGTATGCAGTTAGATATCCAGGTAGCGGCTTAGCAGATGGGAGGAGTCAGATGCCCGCGGAGAGGACAAATGAGCAGCTAAAACCGACCGGAGGAAGATCGGGGCGGGGTCTGGGGGACGAGGGGGCGGAGTGAAGGACAGGGAAGCCGACCGAGTGCCGAATGGGGTCATAGGGCGAAGAACGGGGACTTCCGCCGCCCGCCCCGGGCGGTGCCCGCGGACAGGCAGGAGGGAGGGAGGGAGGGGCCAGCCCCGGGGCACAGAGGGTCCGGGACTGGAAGGAGGCGCACCCAGCACGTCTCGGAACCGGCACAGAAGGGCGACTGATTGCCTCAGAGCCGGTCTAACCACGCTGCCACCATGACGACGCTTTGGGCTCAGGTGCTCGCTCTTACTTTGTGTCTCGCACAAGCCTCCGGACACGGCAAGGGTAAATAGACATTATTTAACTTACCTTTCCATTTAATGCATGCTTTTCTACAATATGCTTATATTCTATATAATAAGTGATACAATATTTAGTTCTGCTTCTGTCAAAGAGCAATACCGTCTTTTCGAAATGCAAACATATACTTTAATTGCAAAGTTATGTATATTTTCATACATTTGGGTGACCATTTGTACATTTGTTTATTCATGTGTGAGCTCATCTCCAAGTTTGATAATCTAGATTTCTCTGGTCAATGTTCTACACTGGTCAATGCATCGTGATCTTATCTAATCATAGCCGGTATTTTGCCAGTTCGATTCAAAGTTTTGCAAGTCATCTATTTTTTCTTCTTCACGCAATACCAATTAGGTACTCTCACGCTGATCTCCGTTTTCGACAGTGTTCCAAGCCTGGCTGGCCGATGACGGCGGCAAGTCCCTGCTGGTGGTCGACGCCGCTCCCAAACACCTGCTGGACAGCACCATCTTCAGTCGACTGCTGGGACTGCGCGACACCAGCATCGGTGACGGGGTGACCGACACGCAGGTCACGGACCCGCCGGCCGAGGGAACGGCAGCGCCGGCCGAGGTCACAGACGCCGGCGGCGACTCCGAAGGCGGCGTCTCCGGGGACGGGGTCCGGGTGACGGAAATGTCGCACCAAGAGGCGGTGTACCCGGCAGTGGCAGGCGGTGCGGCCGGGCCGGAGACGGTGCGTCCACAGCAGCCTCGTCAGCCCGACAGCCGACTGGCCATGCTCACACTCTGGAAACAGATGTTGGTGGACGCCTTCGTCGCCAAGCTGGACCGTTTCACCGGCGACAGGGCACACGAAAAGAATCACACCACACCGGTGCCAACGGCAGCAGAAACACCAAAGACGGCAGAGGAGGAACCAGAACTGACAGCTACAGCGACAGAGGAGTCCACTGTTACGCCGACAGTAGCGCCCACAATGGCGGTAGAGACGGCATCTACACCGGTACCAGCCTCAGCATCAGCTGCATCACTAGCATTAGTGTCAGCTCTAACTTCGTCACCAGCACCGGCAACGGCATCGACATCACCACCTTCTGCGCCAGCCATCGAAACATCAGCGACACGCGAATATGGAACCGCAATGACATCAGAGCCTTCTCCATCATCAGCATCGCAAACGACGATGTCAGAGGAAGCAGTAGTGACAGAAGAGCCGACGACAAAATCCCCAGCACAGACAAAGCCAGTGGCAGAAGAAATGGTAGAGCACTCGCCAATAGTTGTTATTCCAGCAGTGTCTCCAGATTCTGCCAACAGTTCTCCAGTGGCTGCCGAACCGGCGGAGGCTGATATTTCCAGCTCGGAGTCTAGCGATGCCACTACTGCTGACACCTCTGACAGCACCGTTAAACCCAATGCTGGAGACCAGAGCTCAAGTGAAGAGACTGAGCCGACGCAGGGAGATTCCGAAGAGATAGGAGACACGCAGGAGACCGCAGCTCCGCCAGAAGACGAGGGTCAGAATGCCGATGGACTTTCCGGCCACAACAATCACGGACAGAGCATGGAAGGAGGGACAGACCAGGAGCTGTCGACCCAACGTCCAATGCCCGCATCAGAGGACAGCGCAGACGCCACGACCACCGAACTCCCACCGGTGAACGAGTATGAGAAGGCCGTGGCCCAGTGGGAGGAAGCCTCGATCGATGACAATGATCAGATGCTGGAGGAACTCCTCGAGTCGTTCGCAGTCATCACCGCGCAGGGTTTTGCCGAAACGACACCTGAGGACGGCCCGACTGACGAGATTCCCGGGTCGGGTCACTCGCCAGCTGAGCTACACTCTGGTCTCTCAGAGTCGACTGAGCGTGAACACGACGTCGGGGCCACCAATTCGACAGATGAGTCAAAGCTAGACGAAATCGAGCATACGAAGACCATTGAATTTGAACCAATCGATGCTTCAAGTGGAATTGAATCGTCAGGTGGCAGCTCCAGCATTCCAGAACAAATTGAGCACTCAGGACACGACACTCCGAATGATTCTGATGAGGCCAACGCCAACACCGTAATGCTGGAGAGCTTGATCGCCGCCATGAACGCTTCAGAAGACGCAGACAGTATGCCGAGCGACAGCCAAGAACACGCTTCGGGCACCACTAACAAAGAAACTGCCCAGAAGCAGACATATGTCCCTGCCGGAGATCCAAACACTCACAGTACCGACAATCCTGAGGACATGCACCCGCCAGCCTACGGCAGTCAGGGAACTGAAGAGACGGCCACATACACCGACGAGCCGCTGTTCCCCATGCGGTACCCGGACCGGCGGCCATCTGCTCGGAGCGAGGTGCGAGCCGAGCTGCCGGCCGGCGTCGTCTCCGTAGGCGACCAGCAGGAGATCGCCTTCACACCGACCGCCGAAACGCGGAGGACGTCCGTCCAATTCAAACCGACAGCGGTGATAGACGGCGGCCACTTTGACCCGGAGGAGTACGGCCTGACGGACGGGCCGCCGGCGGACTCGGCGCCCCGGCAGCGCTCCGCGCCGCGGCTGCGCGACTCACTCTCCGCCGTGGTGGAGGCGGCAGAGGCCGGCATGTTGCTCGTGCAGCCCGACTGGCGCGGACCCGGCATCATGGCCGTCCCCATGCACCGGCGCCCGCCCGCAGAGATGGTCTGCTACCTGATGGTGAAGCAGGGCGCCTGCCGCTGCACCCACACCAGGTGCGCCGCCTTCCGCAAGTACATGGAGTACAAGTGCCCCGAGACGTGCGAGAAAGGTGAGTGGTGCTTGGCGGGAGGGAAAGTGTTGTTATCGTGGAGGGGAAGGAGGCGAGTGTGCAGCGAAAGTGAGTCATTAAATTATTCTGAAAGTCCCGTGGCGGGTGGGTGGAATGAAGGTTGTTCTCAGGATTTGTGACGATTTAGGATAGCAGAGGTCGTGTTAAAAGCCATCGCTTCTTCTAATGCTCATCTTCTTCTCGATTTATCAGCTAAATTAATTTTCGTGGTACTCATCTAACCCTGGACGTCGCTGTGATGTTCCAAACCGGTTTTGCAATCGCATATTTTCCGGGAATAGTCTGAGATGCTGGATTCAGCGAACTTTGAGATAATTAGCTGTTTAATTGCACATTTGGTTCCGCTCATTTGGGAAAGGTCGGTACAATTATAACCATGTGAAGGAGCCAGAAATTGATTAAGTTTTAATAACGCCATAAGAAACAAGTAGGGTAGCCTGGGGCAAGACGCCCCAGATAATTTATTTTGCTACATAAATTTTGTCCCACATCACCTGGAAGGCCAAATTTGTGCTCAATGCGTTCTTTGGACATTTTACTTTAAATTCCACCCCTCAAATTGATTCACTTATGATCGGACTCCAAGCTAGGAAGTGATTTGTGAAGCAACTGCAAATGGGGCATTTTGCCCCAACCCCAGGGCAAAACGCCCCACGGCCTGGGGCAAGTAGCCCCATACTTTAGATTAAAGATTTAACATGGTAGTTGGCTAAATCTTATGTGAGAGGTCCGTTAGACCTCTGGAGGCACGGCACTGAAGTTAGCGCATTCCATCCTGTCAGGTGCTCAGGTATGACACTATTGTATGAGCAGGTTTTTCACCTACCTCATAAGACCAAATAATAAATTATTGCAATGCAAATGTTAACAAAATACTTCCTTTGCCATCCAGTTGCAGAGAAAAATACACATAAAGGCATAGAAACTTACTGTTCGCCTGCTACCGAACATAAGGAAGTGGGTAGCCCGAACAACACATGAGGTAAAACGCCCCAGGGGCTTTTTGCCCCGCGACCTACTGGGGCGTTTTACCCCATCACGTAGTTCGGTCAGAGAACAACGCCTTGCACTCCAGCAAGACATAATTTAACACGAACCAACCCGGTATGATAAGCGTTAGACAATAGTTGTTCAAAATACATAAAAGTCGTTAACCTAATGTGGACCATAAAAGAACGCCATGATACATAATCTGACAACAAAACATAAAAATCACTCAAAAAACACATTTTTGGCTATATCTCCCGAAAGAGTCATCACAATTTCTTTCCAGTCTGCTCATATAATGATCATGTAGTGCACGTTTTATAGAAGAGATGATGTTTCCCCATAACCCTGCCAGTTCCGAGAAACATCGGTGAGGCGTTTTACCTCGGCGGGGCGACTTGCCCCGGTCTACCCTAATTACTAAGTCTGGCAACCGTTTCCTCGTAGCATGCCTGAAGAACTGATTAATTAGCGATTTCCTTCAAACGTTGTGACGCAGCAAACACTACTATCTACAGCGTGATCGGAATATACCTAAAGCTTGTCAAACACCGAATGATTTATGTGGCGATGGAGTGCGTCAATTCATGGTCGTTCCAGGTAACTTCACTGTTTTTCTCCCGACCGGCGACCCTACTCAGTATGAAGATAGCATCTGCTCTGCCTTGTCTGACCGGTCCTCTGTGTCCCGTTTTCAGTGCCCGTGGCCCCGGAGCCGGCGGGGGTGTCTCGTGGTGTCCGCACCCGTCTCCTGTCGTCAGTACGTCTGCCGGAGCGGCCGCTGGGCATCCTCAGCAAGTGTCGAGGCACCGCGCTGCTGATGCCGCGCTGCCGCGCCACCCAGACGTATGTGGCGCACCCCATCTTCTGCGAGTGCTACCGGGTGTGCAGTGGCGAGTTCGCCGGCCTGACGGCTTGTCCCAGCGGAGAGCACTTCAGCACGCAGGAGGCCGAGACCCGCGTCTGTGTGCCCTTCGAGGAGAGCACGTGCCGCACCTGGTCCCGCCTGGTGACCAAGCCGTGACCTCCGGGGTCGTGACCTCAGGGATCGCGACATCAGGGCCGTAGCTGCAGGGTCATGAATGACCTTTGCGACTGTGACCTCAGCAGAAAGGTTGGGAAGCACGGACCGTCAACATCTGGCACGATCGTGCTGAGTACGCACGTGACCAGTTCGAGCTGGATTAGCTCTTGAGAGGTGCTAAGAGGCTTCCCAGGGGCTTTCAAAGTGTCGACAAGCAGCAACGGTAGGTGGGCAACGCCGTCAAACCGCCGAACTATGGCATCTGTGCTATGGACTAGCACTGGAGCCGACATATACGAGCGCGGACACGGTAGACTTGCTGCAGGACTAAAGCGTCTAGGTTGGCATACCCGAGGACAAAATGATTTTCGACGCTGAATTCTTCTTCAATGTCAGTCTCATTTTCATTACTCACTTCAAGCTCTGGCCACTGCAGCGCACGGTTTCGGCCGTTTCCCTCATCGATTGTGACATTCGAGGGCTCAAATATCGGCACCGCTGTCACATCCAAGTGGCGCCCACCTCGTACCAATTTGTCCTAATGTAGGTATTTGTGAGCACTCCACTACCAGGAATATTGACGCTTTGTGACGCCAAATAGCGTAGACAACTTTGTTGTTACCGTGTATTCATATTTGAATGATCACCATGTCCATTGCAGTCTCTTTCGAAGACACTTTGTAATGATGAGTACTGTGTGCCCGTCAATGGTTATACAAATACACCAATGTTGGCGGCGAAAACGTGTCTTGCTGTAGTACGATAATGTGTTTGACTTGACCATCCAGGGAAGCAATGGAATTATTATTGAATCAAAAGAACGAGAATGACCAACATCGCTACTATACCACCTTCACAATGATAGTCACGCTACTCATGTTGGCAATGTCTTATCATATACCTAATATCCGTGCCGAGTCCAGCTTCTGACCAATCCTCCATTCAATCTCCTGTGTCCATGCCCTTGACAGAGCCGCTCTGGATTCTTCCTGTCCTGTCCTATACCGATCCTCCTTGTAACGCCCCTGACAGCCCTGTCCCAGAGGTTTTTGTCCCATTTCTGTGCCGCCAGTCAAGAGGCGGACCCGCCGCCCACTGGCGAGTCACTGCGGTGAGCGCTTTGCGCGTCCACTGTTTGTCCGATGTCAACAGAAAGCCATCAGCGTCGAGTGGCCAGTGTCCACTGCCGTCCGACCGGGCATCGCCCACCGCATCCGCCACCGACCGACCACCGGGCCTCCGTCGTCATCGCCCACTGACAAATACCGACCATCGCTCACCGTACGACCGAGCATCGCCCATCGACTGGCCATCGCCCACCACCAGTGATAGACCTACGACCAACTGACAGACCATTGTCCACCGCCTTCGACCATCGCCCATCGCCACTGAAAGACCTTCGACCAGCTGACAGACCATTTCCCACCGCCTTCGACCAGCCGACCATCGCCCATCCGCATTTATAAGAACTGCGACCAATCCACCGTCTTCGACCAACCGACCGACCTTTGACCAACTGACAGGCCATCGCCCATCACCACTGAAAAGCAATAGCCCACTACCTCGGACCATCAAACACCGCCTTCGACCAACCCATTTTAATACACAGTGGACCAACCGCCCCACCATCGCTAACATACCGACCATCTACTATCAACTACTGCCTCCGTTGCCATCGTCCAACAGCCGCCCATTGTTGCATGGAAGTCGACCACTCCACTCACCAGCGCCTGGATTGACCTAAGGAATAATTAAGTTTCAGGCGGTAAAAGCCACGATTCAAATGCATATGTGCTGACGACATTTCTGTGAAAGCACTATAACCCGAATAACTTAGAAGAGGTAAGCCCGCTGAGGCTCATAAAACGGCTCCTAAAAACTTCCATAGAAAAACAATCATTTTTTTTTAAGAACATGGATGTCTCAGTGACGTCGCCCGGCCCTCCTCTGTTTACCACTTCAACACGTTAGCTGATAGTTATAACCGAAAATTTTGAACTTCATGCGGCGTGTCCTCAACATAAAGATGATACAAGGGATAAAGAACAGCGCGACCCGCACCTCTCGGCTATCGGCCGGCGACTCTGCTCGGCCGCCTCTCGACCACCGCCCGGCCCAGCCGCCGGCGCCCAGTCACCACCGCCCCTGCGGGCAGACTGTACCGCAGGGCACCGATCGCCGCCCCTGAGGGCAGACTGTCCCGCCGGAAGCGTACCGCACCGTGCCCACATACTACAGTCGCGAGCATTTATGAGATTAGAAATAGAAAGGAGGGGAGAGAGAGACGAGAGAAAGGGAGGGAAGGAGAGAGGGAGAGGGAAGAGTGATAGAGAAGGAGAGGAAGAGAGAAAGAGAAATAGAGAGAGAGAGAGAGAGAGAGAGAGAGAGAGAGAGAGAGAGAGAGAGGGAGAGGGAGAGTGAGTGAGAGAGTGAGAGAGAGAGAGAAGAGAGAGATAGAGAGCGAGAGAGCGAGAGCGAGGGAGAGAGAGGGGAGAGAGGGGGAGAGAGATGGGGAGAAAGGGAGGAAACTTTTTAAAATAAATCTTTAAAATAAAAAGCTTTTTAGGTATAATTTTGTGACAATTTTGGACCACAAATTATGCCTTTAATAGTCTACCTATATCTACAGCATACCGCCCATGCTTCCAGGCCCACGTTGTGAAGGTGCTTACAAACTGCTAACTTTGTGAGGAGACGGATGTATGTATATATGCATAAGCGTTATGTAAAGGACAGATCGTTTATAAAACGCTGCCATTTGTTTGCAGCGTGCATACCTTTAGGTACATTTACAGCTTCACGCTGCTAGGTTTCTTTATTGATGTTGGCATTGATGTGAAATATGAGACGGTCGATCTCAGCAGCTCATATCTATTTCAACGCCATCGATTTGCGCCGAGCGAATAGCTCTGAGAAAGTCAAACATTCCAAATCTACTCATCGGGCGATCAGATGGTCCAGTTCTGACACATTCCACAATCCATTGCACTCGGCCCCGCTGGAGGCCACTCTCAGATATCATCGCCCACTCGACAATAAGGCACTCCACGCTGCAGTGTAAGCGCGGCTCATCCCTCCGCCCAGCTGAAGCCCCGCGTGCTCCGAGTCGGGCCGGGGAGGGCGGGACAGTCGATACGACACGGGGCTGCGTGACACCGCCTGCGGCCGGTCGTCGCGGCGACTTCAGCCGCTCCGCACGCCAGCCGTGTGTCCGCAAATGAGGCCCTCCACGGACCTCGGCTCAGGTTTGGCGGTAACGAGCGGCACCCGAGTCGAGCACACTCACTGCAGCGGGGTCACACCAGCACGGCGGGGTCGGCATCGGGCCCAGGGAAGCTTCACTAGCAATACCGAGAAGTTGTACAACCGCAGTGAATCGTGAAGTGTCCGGGGTGACCTAACGTTGTAGGCACGAATACGAGGAACTCCCAATCCGCCTCCATTGAAAGACTTTCAAACAGCGCCTGTGCCGTACAGTCAAGACCGTGTCCATCTTCGATCCATGTGCTGTCTATGCATTGCATGTGCCTGCTGCTGCCAATATCGCTCCTAATCCCACATTCCATTCGCGCGATCGCCTCCTCATGCTATTCCTAGTTTCGGCCCGGTGCGTGCATTCAGCTGTCGCGGTGTCCGATGATTGATGTCTCGGCCCCTGTCCACCAGAGCGCACAGTGGACGTCTTATCGCCATCCACTGTCGACTGACATCATCTGGAGGACCGGCGCCCGCTCGCCGGCCGTGGATCACCATGTTACTGAGCTGGCGCGTCGACATCGGGACATCGGAAATCCATATGGTTGCGTCGTCGCATGTCAGCAGCACAGCCGTTCAAAGGCGCTTGGTAACCACGGTAGGGTGGGTTGGATGAGGAGGGGAGGTTCGAGGTCGATTCGATATAAAGGCTGTGGTCAGGTCATGTAACACTGGATCAAGACTATAACTAGATTGGGTCGTGTTCAGTGGTCAGGCTCGCAAATCGGTAGGGATGAAGAGCTGGGTTTGCTATCTTGGAGCTTGGAATCAGGATCGAGGTCAGGGTTGGCCCATCTCGCATAATTTTCTCATGTCGTCTGCTGGAGGGTGGAGACGTTGACCACTTATATGCTGAGAACTGATGGCTGATGCAAGACCTGTAGCTGGAGCCTGTTAGGCCTTCCTAAAAATACCCAGAACAGAGGAGCTTTGAATTGTTTCGTAGGATTTTGACTAATTAAGTTGCATGCATCGATCAATATCGAGCGCCGAAGCACGGCTCCTGCTTCGCTCTTCTCATTGGCTTCATCCATATCCAGTCTCCGCGGCGAGCTAATCGCTTGTCCACCATCAGCACCCGAGCTGCGATGAGTCTAACGACCGTTAGCCCGCCGTGAGCACCCCGAATGTCTCCGTGACTCCCCGTGAGTCTGCAGTCAGACGGTGTCCCGCCGTGAGTCCCTCCGTGAGTCTGTTGTGAGTCCCACGGTGAGTCTGCAGTCAGACAGCGTCCCACCGTCTGTCCCGGTGTAATCTACCGGCCAATTTACAGCTCCGCCGTAACCCGGCCCCTGACCGTCGGAGGAGGCGGCGCTCTGACCCCGGCCACGGTCGACATTGGACGGCCCCTCCCGAGGGCCAGCTCCGGTCCAGGACCGTCCACAGCGGTCGATGCTCAATCTGGTGAAGGGCCGGCCGCCCGTCCGACCCTACCGGGCCCGACTGGGGTGATCGGGACTGGCAGAGGAGGGGTCGTGTCTGCTGAGCAGGCCCACTGGGACTATATGACCACTGACCGAGCTCGCAGCGCCCTCAAACAATGAATCGTAAAGACCATGCCCATCGAAAGGCGCCGGCTCAGTGGAAGTCCTGCTCCTGAGTCCAGAAGTCCTGAGGACCAGACGTCTGAGTTTGGGTCACGGGAATTGCACGTGACCACTATGACATTGTTCCTGGTCTCTTGAAACCTGCCCCAGTTTCGGGTAGCTGCGGGACATGCATATTTCCTTATCGGCAGCCAGTCAAACAGTCAGCGAAAGGGACATCTCCACTGGGTCG